GAGTGAGTAGGGGTATTTAAATTAAAAAGGATTTTTTATGTTTATATTTTTACTTTTAAATGATTTTCCTCTTATGTTCATCCATTTTTTAACAACTATGATTGGGTAATAAAAACAAACAGCAAAATGAGAAGAAAATGATGAAAGCGAACAGGAGGAATACATAGTAATATTGTTAAAAGCGTCTGGCAAATGCATAAAAATAATGCTCGTTATATACACTTGGGGTACGGCAATTACACTTAAAAGCCTTCAGTTAACAACCGCCAACGAAAACAAACGCAAGTGGCCCAACTATGGCCGTTAGTATAACCCAACTAGCAGCAACAACAACACCAACTACTGTTAAATGGAGGTAGAAGACTCACAGCAGGAACACCAATTGTTGTAGTAGTTATAGTTGTTGTCTCACCACCAACCGTAGCAACATTTGTGGCCATTAACCAGCAAGGGGTATCTCGTCTGGACTGCTGCTACTCGTCGAGGGTTAGGAATTTCATTTTTCCTTTAGATCCCTCTGTCTCTGTCCTCTCAACACAATGAATATCCTGTAAACTTCATGTGTAATAGTTGAGTAAATTCCGTGAGTAAATTTACTAAGCCAAGAATTAAATTATTTGAGAGAAGCTAAAAATAAAGCTGTTTGTTGGCTTGGCAATAAATTGGGGAACGAAAAAAAGAAATTGGATATTAAAAGAACATTGGTGTTAAAATTGCAAAACGAAGAAGAAATTTAAGTTCTTTTCTTTGGCTATTTCGTAGTTTATGAGGCGTACAACATTTGTTAACCATTATCTTAAATTGTTATTTTTTTCTAGAATGGTAATAAAAATACGAAGTCTCTCGAAAAATGATTATTTCAGCTTGGGCTAAGATTATGTGAATTGAATTGGATGGTTGGTTTCGAAATTAATAAAAAAAACTCCTTGGAAATTATTGGTATGAATAAATGGAAAGCTTTTTCTAATTCACTCGAAAATGAATACGATAGGAAGATAATCACTCGACTTCGATTTTTCGAATCAGAATCTTTGGCTGCTTTAATGAATAAATATTATTAAAATAACAAAATTACAAAATGAGTACGAATTTTGTGTCACTCTGTTTTGTGAGATTTAGAATAAAACATATGTTGAAATTGAGTAAATTCTTTTTTGTGTGTAGAATTCAGGCAAAATCGTATCCACTTTCCATTTTTTCGAGTTCTTCCTTCTTGTCATCTTTCATTTAAATAATAATTTCAAAATTATAAAAACGACTATGAAATCTTCCTAATTACTCATGCATCCTTAAGATATTCAGTTTAAGATTTCAAGACATTTTTTATATTATTCTTTTATTTTTACATGATTGTGATTTTACAAAATTGTTTCAGTTACAGAAAATCAAGGGAGAAAAATTTCCTTTGCTTAGAATGAAAATTGTGTTTTTTTTTTTTTTTGATTTGTGATAGGGTAAGTGTACCAGTAGTCGGCACTTTTAGAATTTTCAATGTTTCAATCTTTCAACATTCTGAGTGAATTGTCAATCAATTGCAGAAAAATAAAGTTGTTCAGATTCCAAATTTTGTTTAGTTTTCGAAATAATAAACAGCAATTGAATTTGTTTTTATTAAATTGGCAAAATTTGCAATTTTACTAAAATAGTAGTTTTTTTTTGCCAGTCGGCACCATTTTCCAATGCTCGGCATGTCTATTTGCCAGTAGTCGGCATATAGTATTTCAGTAAAAAAAAAGTATTATTTTGTATTTTTTGTATTTCTAATAGTATAAAACAATGCTATATTACTAATTCACAGTTCAATTAATTAATTTCTAAACTAAATATAGGTAGAGAATCAAGAATAGTATGGTTACCTTCAGTAACGTATGGATTTTCAATTAAAATAAAAATGAGATTAAATAAAAAAGAAAAAAATACCTTTCTTATATTTGGAATTTGTGAATTGATCTCTTTCCTTTCTTCAAAAATGCCACCGCTATCTAAAACGTCAAATCGCTGATTTAAAAAACCTACTTAATTAAGAAAAGTTGGTCAAAAAGCACAAATAAAAACAACTGCAGACACAAAAATATTTTTTTATTTATGTAGTTTTTGGATAAATGTTTAATAGTTTTCTCAAGGTTTGGTGAAATTGTTCAAAAATTATATTTTTCTAGTAATCGGCAACCCCTGCCGACTACTGGCAAATCTCTTTTTTTCTGTTCCTAATATAGAAGAAAAATGCTTGATTTGTAAATATTTTAAATTATAAAATGATCTTTAGACTGTTATTTACTTTAATAAAATATTTCTGATTCCAAAAGTATTACATTTAATTTACTTAAATCGACCACTAATTTTTTCTTTAGAAACAAGCACTATCGCATGCGTTGGAAGACACTCACTGACGAAAACCGTTATTCTCTCGTAATAAATGATCGGAGCTATTTTTTTTTTTAAAGAAAGAGAGCAGAGAACACTGTTGACGTTTTTTGCAATTATTTCATTATTTGGTCAATTCTATTCTTACTTATTTAAATTTAAATTTCAAAACTGCCGACTACTGGGACATGCCGACCTTAGGCGCACTTGCCCTACATTGAATAAGTAGAAGTTAAACTATCAACTAAGAATTCAAAATGGTACATTAGTTCGGTAGGAAATCTCGGCCGAAACCCTCAAAAAATCGTAAATCAGGACATACATATAAATAGGTCCTATACGAAAACCTGAACTTGCATTGAATATTTTTTTCGATGAATCAATTTGGCTGGAAATTGAGTCTGAGTTGAGACTTCCACAATACACAAAATCAAGATGACGGTCACACTTCATGCGAGATGAATTACCTTTAAAAATGACCTACATTGGTACTAAATTTTGTAACATTGGTATTTTTATATCTTACAACACTGTGTGTTGGGGTTATTATAAGTTTGATAGGGCCAAAAATTATGTAACAACTCGAAATATTGGTTTCCAACATAGGGAAGTGTACAGGGTGAGATGAAAAAAACTGCAACCAACTTCAGACTGCTGTCATTTCTAAGCCACTCATCCAAAACCTGTTAAAATTATTCCAGTTACAGCTTATTGTACAAAAGCATTTTAGTAAGAATTTTCCAGAAAAAAAAATTATTCGTGATAGTGTGATTTCTTTATATTTGGCTGGAAAACCATAAGTGGTTATCGATACAGCACTCCAGCATTTATATGTGAATAAATCTTTGGTGTCTCGTACCATCGCTCCATTCGGCAAATATTGAAAAATGAGCTCGGGGTAATTTCATTGCAATTCCAAAAAGTGCAAGAACTTACACCGCAACAAAAAGAAAAAAGACTCATAAGAGCTAAAGAGTTGCTTCGCTTGCCCGAAAGTGGTGAACTGCCGAATTTGGTATTCTCCGAAGAGAAAACATTCGTTGTTCAGCAGTTTGTAAACAAACAAAATGGTCGTGTTTATTTGCCAAAGAAGTCAGCTGAAAATGTGCACCTTCGGTTGGCCACCAAAACTCAAGCGCCGGCCATGGTGATGGTGTGGGCCGCCATAATAGCCGATGGTCGCTATCCGCTCGTATTAATCCACCGTGGCATCAGAATAAATGCCGATTGTTATCGCGAAAATATTTTGGAGGGTGTATTAATGCCTTGGGCACGCAAACGTTTTGGACGCAGACTTTGGACATTCCAACAGGACTTAGCACGCGCCACCCAAGAATTGTTAAAAAATTAGGTTCTTCGCTTTATTTGGCCACCAAAACCTGCGCACAATGGCCACCAAAACCTGCGGATACCAATCCGTGCGACTATTGTGTCTGGAGTAATTTGGAAAGCAAGGTTGGCACTAAATAATACCAAAGTGTCGATCACCTCAAGCAAGCGCTTCGCCAGAAATGGGCCAAAATACCGCAGAGTAACATTCGTTCAGCGTGTGACATTGGCCGTTTGAAGGCCATAATTCGTGCCAGAGTTGACCAATTCGAATAAATCTAAACTTATTCTAAAATTTGATATTATTTCCGACATTTTTCGCTTGCATTCAATAAAACTAAAAAAAAAATGAAAATTATGCCGTTTGACTTTGTTGCAGTTTTTTTTTATCTCATCCTGTATATGGGAGCTATATCAAAATCTTAGCCGATTTCAATGTTATTTATCAAAATTATTTTTGTGCCAAATTCCGTTACACTGTCCAAACGTGAAGCCTTTATCTGTAATCGATCAAAAGATATGTGGATACAAAATTTTTTGGATGCACCTCAGGTTTTGATGTTATATTCCCAGTTCCAAGTGAAATTTCAAAAATGTATATAACTTATATTGCTTTCAGCCAATTCTGTAGTATATTTAAAAGTTTGCAGACAAATGTGTTTAGTGGTTGTTGAATCTATAATTTATTGTAAGAATCGCTATATAGTTGTCCGATTTCGCTCAAATATTGCGCATTTCAATATTTGGAGAATAGGTCAGATGAGCAAAGGGAAGAAAAGGTCATATATCCGATGTGATCCGATGTGAAAATATGGTTTATCGGCCCATTTCTTTCTGGTTCTTCCCTCAAAAGAGGTACATTTTTTCAATAAATATAAGATTGATTAAATACAAAATTATTAACCCATGTTCTCAAACGAAGACCAAATTTGGTCCGTGGCATTATTTTTATTAGACTTATGTCAAGAGCGAACTATTTGTCTTACCTCTCCTTAAAATTCAAAACTGTCCACATGAAAATATGTTGGTTTCAGATATATTGATAATAATTATTAGATTATTCCACCGTATTCCAAACTCTCAAAAAATAGATATATAAATATATGGTGAAATGCGGAGGACAATTAAAATAGGGGGCATGGCATTAAAATACTTGTACATACTTAAAGATGTCATTTACAATCACTATCTTGAATAACTTTATAATAGAGAGAATACGCCAATATTTTATGGAAACTACTTCGTGTAAAAAGGACCAAAATCAAATCAACGATACTCTAGAAACATAGAAAAAGTTTAATACTTACTGGCTATATGTTCATTATGAAAGGCCAACATTGTTGTTTTTGCGTAGTAAATTTGTTGTAGTTTGCTTGTGGTAACACTATTTGTAGTTGGTGTTGATATATTAATATTTTTATAACTTTTTTTAGAAATTAATTATTTTTTTATTGCACAGATAAGGATAAACCGAACACACGCTTTCACACAATAGAGAGACTCACACACACACACACAAAGACACAGATAGAGAACGCAAAATACGCAGATGTTGTTAAAGATTTATGATAATTTTTGGACATTTACATTCGTTTACACAAAACCGAACCGAACAGCAACACCTGCAAAGAAATGGAGAGAGAGAAGAAAGGATAAAAATGTGAAACAGATTTGTAGGCAAAAAAAACTTTCAAAATTGTTTTCTTTTTTCTATGGAAAGCAAATAAGGTAGATGTTGTTCGAATGAAACAAAATGTTTTTGCTATTTTTTTTTTCGTTTTGTTTAATACTTTTGGCTGACTTCTAGTTGAACTATTTTTTGGCTGTTTTTGTTTATGCTTTTTTGTAGCCTGTTTATACATTTTGAATAATGCGTCTGGATATGCTTTATGTCAACACTGCAACAACTGCTGCCAGTGACGACGTTGTCCTTGTCGCAGCACAACAACGGCTTGTGTTGCTAGACAAATGAACGTTATAAAATATGTTGTATTCTGCCGGCTGGCACAAGTTTGCCAAGTGTAATATATTATGCAAAATTTGTATACTCTTATGTGAAACAGTAATGACTATATGTTTCAAAATGTTTGTGCTTTTGTTGTTGTTTCTTACTATAGTGAAGGTGGTAGTACATAAATCCGCAGTTAAAGTTCGTCACATAGTTTTTAAAGTTTTATGAAGGGGATTTTTATCTTATGTCAAATGTTAGATTTAACAAGTATAAAAATAATGTCAGATACGGATTCACTGACCCCTCAGCACAACTGGATATAGGCTCACTGAGCCCATAGTTCAAAAACTGTCTCAGATGGAATATATATTAAATCATCTTATTATGGACTCTCCCAGTTCGTTTACTAACAACAGACTAACTGGCTTATAAAACTGATCAATGGAAAAACCAGTAAAGAAAGTAAAGTTTTTATGGCAGAATTCAATCTTTTTTTAAATCTTTTTTATTCATTTTAAATTTCAATACAATTATACACCCTATGATTATAATTGTAATTTAAAATTCAAAGGACTAAATATGCCGAAGCATTTGTATCTTTTAAGTTCGGACTTGTATTGCCTATTTGATGCAAGATTAATTTAAAATCAGATAAAAATATATATGGGAGCTATATGCAAATCTGAACCGATCTCGATAAAATTTGGCAAAGATTTTTCTGAGCTGTATTTGACATATTTCCCTGAATATTGTTGTTACGGAGTGCATATTACGGCTGTGGGTATCCCATACAACAAATCGGATGAACAATATATATGGGAGCTATAGGCATATCTGAACCGATTTCGATCAAATTTGGCATACTACCTTCTAGACTCAATTCGGTCGTATGTGCCAAATTCCATCCGATTTGTTTGGTGTACAATAAAAAGTAAATCGGACGATGTTATGTGTGGGAGCTATATCCAAATCTGAACCGATCTCGATAAAATTTAGCAAAGGTATTTCTGAGCTGCATTTGATATATTTCCCCAAATATTGTTGTTACAGAGTGCATATTACAGCTACGGAGGACAAAAATAACAATTCGGATGAACAATATATATGGCAGCTATAGCTATATCTGAACCGATTTCGATCAAATTTGGCATACTTATTTTCAGGCCTGTATGTGCAAAATTCCATACAATTGGGCTGATACATTCCATATGTTTGGTGCACAATAAAGGGCAAATCGGACGATGATATATATGGGAGCTATATCTAAATTTTTACCGATTATCTCCAATTTAAAAAGGGTTCGTCCTTGGGTTATGGTTCGTTGTTTGGAAAGTTTCATCTCAATCGGATAATAAATGCGACCTGCATTTTGTTCACAAGAATACATGGATAGACGGACGGACGGACTGGCATGCATAAATCAACTCAGAAAGTGATTCTACACGCAGAGAAGGATTATGGTTGCAGCAACTATATTCGAAGAGCATAATGTTATGGTAGGGATATGGCTGCAGCAAACATAGTACCTGGTTGAAGCAACCATAGTACATACATAACATTTTTGGCATAAAATTTAAAATTTTAACAATATAATGGTCACCGTAAAAATAATTATTGTTCTCTTTCAAAAACACTGTGGTTCCCAACTAACCATGTAATGGTTGTTCCCAACCATTTATTGTTCTTCAACTAATCATACCATGGTCATGGGAAACCATACTGTGGTTTCAGTATAAACATAATATTTTTCAAAATAATCATAGTATGGTCCTAGTTTATAATATTATGGTAGATAAACAATCGTACTATGGCTACAAAGTAACCATGTTATAGTTCAATGTAACCATACTGTCTAACCATGTTATAATACAGGTAAACGTAATATGGTTACATGCATTAAAGTACCTGTGAATAAAATGCATTATTTATTTAAAATATATTTTATTTTATTATATAAAATACATACATTGTACGTCAAATCAATTCAATAACTTATTTTCTTTAGATACAGAAACATACATACTGTCTGTTTGTGGTTTTATTTATAATAAATTCCATTGAAGTCTTTGCAATTTTAATGCGGTCCTTATTTTCCAACGTTTTAACATTTAAGAATTGGTTAACATCATGGATTGCGCTAATTTCCTAAAGAAATATATTGTTGAAATATAGGAACTCACTATTTCTACTATATTTAATAAGAATATGTACTAAAGTACTTAAAATGAAAATCATATTTAAAGAAAAGACTTACCTGCTTTGATGGAAGACTTTGCAAATTGTCCACACTGGTGAAAACAATTATGTCTTGGGAGGAATTTAAAAATGTTTCTTCTCCAATGCAGGATATTGCTTGATGAGCAGCTGCGAAATGTTCTGCTGATGGCGAATCTATAGATTCACTTTCAAATGCAGAGTCCGTATTGGATACACAAACGTCAATACCTGAGAAAATTAGAAGTAAGAAAATATAAAATTCTACAATTAAAAATAAATTTGTTTCTTTTAATTAATACTTACTTGACAGCTTAATGTCTAGAATAAAATCAGTAGATCCAATAAACTGTTTAACAAAATCCGAAAATGGCTTGGTTTTATCTTGAAACCTTTACATTAACATATCCTAAACTGTAGCTTTTTCGAACTGCAATAAAAACAAACAAACATAATTACATAAATAAACATCAAAATTGTTTGCACACTTTGTGTTTGTTTTATCAAATTTCTTATATTTACCTTCATCTAGGAACAATTGGTAATTGTTATCTCCGTCAAATGTTACACAAATTATTTCTTTTTGTCATCAAAAAAAATTTTATAAATTTTAAACCTTTCATTTTTTGATTTTGTTAGACGCACAACTTTCTCGCACAAACAGAACAGAACAATTGACGTAAATTCAGTTCTTTTTTGGCAAGCAAAAAAAAAAAAAAAAAATATTTAACGGGACTCTCACCAAGAAATGCGTATGTATGCATGTATGTTTGAAAATGCAGAATTATTTGTTGACAACAAACATAACATGGTTGCCATAAAAATATCGTTATTAATTTCAAAAATGATATTATTGCATTCCAATGCATACACAAAATATGCATGAAAATACAACAACATAGTGTATTGTAGGAAACATGTTATGATTGCATAAAAAATCTTATTGTTGTCACCGAATTACATTGTCGGGATATTTAATAGAAAATCAGACATTTTGTAAGAAATGCAAACATTTTCTGAATTTCTATAATTTAGATTTTCTTAAACTAATATATGTATATATTACATTAAAGTGTAGGATGACACATATAAAAGTTAAACTAAAAACTATGAAAAACACTTTTATTTCACAATACCCGTTTATTTATAAACTAGTACGAACGACTTCGAATGTTGCCGAATATGAACTGAAGAAAGCATCGTGGGAGCTTTACAGCAACATACGAAATGACAATGTTATTATTCCATCTAATCATGTCATGTTTAATGTTAGTAAGATTCTGATAATTACATTATGGATAAAAAAATCGACCATAGTATTATTGCTTACAACTATGTAAATGGTATGTAACCATAAAATATTTTATTAATGTAAACAATTATTGTATCAGCAACTATTAAATAGTTCCTCTGATAATTGTATGATTGTTCAAAGCAACCATACTGCAGATTTTTTAATGAAAAACATTTTTGCTACAAAATATTGATCAGGTTTTTATTGTGAAAATAATGATGTGGTTGAAACCAATAAAAACATGTTTGAGGGAACAATTGTATGATTGTAGCAAATATTTAGTGATTGCAGTGAAAATGTTCAACTATATTTTTTCTCTGCGTGTATGCAGATCATCAAAGGGAACTATGGGTCTATCTCGTTTCCTTTTGCCTGTTAAAAACAAATGCACAAATACATAATACCCTGTGGTGTAGGGTATAGAAATATATATCCTCAGGCATATAACTATCATTTAAAGGGCCAAAATATGTCACATTTCTTTGGACGAAATCCATTTCAGGATTTTTAAAGGTAGTTGAGCCACTTGCGTCTCCTCGTTCGGCTGTTGACCACTACCTTCTACAAAAATATCAACATTTGGCTCCACCCGAAAGAGAAACATTATAAAATATCCATTAACAAATGACCTTTGCTTAAATACGTTAAAAATTTCATAAAACAAGTAAGAAAAGGTCGGGACGTTAAGACTATATAACACCCTACAACACTATGCATATTTAGTAGAGCTCCTGTAACAAAAGAGTTTATTTGATGTAGTTCATACCACCTATCAACATTTGGCTTTAGAGAAGTCATAATTTGGTTTTAGAGGGGACTAATATATGGGAGGCATATCCAATTCTGAATCGATTTTCTCTACATTTGACTAAGAAATTTTAATCTTTTATACCAAATAACATTGCTATAGAGCGCATGATATAACTTCGAGAAGGATTATATTAAAATGAGTTAAAAAGTATCAATCGGTTCTGCCGACAGTCATTGTACTATTATTTGAATATATATTGTCTTCTGTTATGATTATTCAAACTGTGTGGGTTCTAAGGGAATGGAGCGGGTTCTGAGGGAATGGGCCAATATTGCCTATTTCGTATTTGACCTAAAAATTACGACATAAATATTCACTTCACTTTACATAACAGATCTGATAATTTTTAGAA